TTAGTGCTTTAGAATTAGAGGATCTAAATATTTGAGTTAGTGCTTTAGAATTAGAGGATCTAAATATTTGAGTTAGTGCTTTAGAATTAGAGGATCTAAATATTTGAAATAGTGCTTTAGAATTAGGGGACCTAAATATTTGAGTTAGTGCTTTAGAATTAGAGGATCTAAATATTTGAGTTAGTGCTTTAGAATTAGAGGATCTAAATATTTGAGTTAGTGCTTTAGAATTAGAGGGACCTAAATATTTGAGTTAGTGCTTTAGAATTAGGGGACCTAAATACAATTAGTTCTTAAGAATTAGGGGACCTAAATATTTGAGTTAGTGCTTTAGAATTAGAGGGACCTAAATATTTGAGTTAGTGCTTTAGAATTAGGGGACCTAAATATTTGAGTTAGTGCTTTAGGGTTAGTGGAACAAATTTGTAGATTAGTGCTGTCCACCATTGTATACATATAATAGATTCAAATGTCTAATGATTTTACCTTGACATTAAATATCATATCCCCAATGGGCTTTACTGCTATTTGTTTGAGTGACTCCTTCATGTTTGAGTTAGAGTCCTCAGTTATATTTGAACTTTTACCTTGTCTGTAAATAATTGTTGGTCTAACAACTTCCCAGCTCTCTTTAGTGCTTTGTTGAATTCTCGCTGTGTGTTTCCTGACAGAAGCTTTTCTCACTTCAGTTTTGCGTCTTTCAGTTTCTCTGTGGTAGCTTTGTTAAGTAAACATTTTGATTAATTACATGAATGTCCCGTCTATTAAATTCTAAAATATATACTTTCTTATGATGAGGAAGACCTAAATAATAATAATGTGTGTAATAAATTAAAATTTAATTAGACGGGACAAAAAAAAAAAAGAAAATGCAACAAAATAAAAATTTCAAAAATACATAAAAAGAACTTACCTTTCCAAAGCTCCCTTTTCCTATTGCCCTCAGGATTTGAAAATGGTCAAAATTGACTGCAGATAAGAAAGAATAGAAACATTTACTGTTACTCCTCACATCGAACTAAATAATCAAGGGCTTGGAGACATTTTAAACTCCTATTAGTTAAAATAAAAACAGTAATTGTCTGCTTTTGATTTTTGTTGACAGGTGATTAAAATTTACATAAGCACACATTGAAAACAGTATTATGAAAACTATAAAAAAAATGGGAGCGTTTAGCTCAAATGAACAAAAAGTCAAAGGAAAAAGTCTCCAGGGAAACAAGAAGCCGATGACATTTTATGGCAGAGTCTGAAATGACCTTCAGCTCAAAGATGGCTCGTATGACTGGTACATGTTTTTTTTTTCTTTAAGAGTCATTGTACAGATTTCAAAAGGCATTTCTTTATCAGCCTTCAGGGTTTGCCTCTTTTTGTTCTTCTGTGTCTGTTGTCAGACAGAACATAAGCCACAGCATTTCTCCCTTTCTCACTCTCCCCCATCTATTCTATCTATCAGCAACATTATCGCCAATTGGAATAGGATGGGGCTGTTTGTTTCTCGCTGTCATGACAACAAGGACAGACGGTTTTCCCTCTTTGCCGTTTCCCAGAGGATGGAACAGCTGCTGCCCACTATTTGCACTCATCCAAACACACRCAAACACTCTCTACACACACATACACACACTAAGACAATTACAGCCACAGTTGTTATTAAAAACACACTCATTCATCTGACATGTAGCGCCGATTTAAAACAATACCATTGTGGCACACACAGGCACAACTTCAGCCTGCATCATGTGGATCTATTGGATGTGACAGATRATGTTATGCTCTGTTAGTCACATAATCATTGGTGTTTCCTCGCCTCACACTATCTGAGTCAGGGTGTTTACACAACCTGCGCTAAGCTCTATATGAAGCTTTATAACCCACAGAGGTCTAAATCTGCTCATGTAGCATACACCCAAAATGAGTCTAGGTCAGTGTGTTTTGTAATTTTCTTGCTTGAGATACTTGGGGATTCCTTCCTAATTGAGTTTTTCCAAGAGACAACTGCGTTCATTGACGGGTTATGGTTGATGGTAGATAATGTTATTACAGCAAAAAGGCCCAAACGAGCAAGGACGAAAGGCGAGAGAGGCACTTTTAATGCTTTGAAGTGCCTGTGATGTCATTTTTGTAAAAAAAATGAATTAATAGCACATTGCAAAAAAAATCACACTGTTGAGATGAACAGTTGTTGAGATATTTGAAAGTAACAGAAAGTGATGTCAAAGGGGAATGTCAGCATGTGAGCACTGCTACAATGACTAACAACACCAACTAACCCCCAATTTACACTACATGCGTCTCCGCTCCACTCCGACCTCCGCAACATATACGCAACGATTCTAACCAATGAGAGTATTTATAGTGGCTCCACATGGCTCCGCATGGCTCCRCATGGCTCCACATGGCTCCAAATGGCTCCGTATGTCGGCGCAGTGCGGTGGTGAGCTGACGGCAATCCGGCAAAATTAGAACCGATCCTATTTTTGCCAGATGCCAGAGCTGCTCCTGAGTCAATGTACAAAGATCACATCACACCAACAGGAAAACGAAYGAACACAACATCCGTATTTTCAAAATAAGACACCATAAGGCGGAATAATTTTGTTGAAATTGCAGCCATGTTAATAAATATATGGATATATTTCAATACAAATGCTATCAGAATGTATCTTTCTGTTTGGGAAGCAGATGGCAACATGTAGCATGAAGCATATGTTTTGTCCACGATACGCGTGGATTTTATTTTGAAATCAGAAGTTTCAAAAAGACGAMAGCGATACAGTTTCAACTGTAGATATCAAAAGCCTTTAAATCAATGTTTTCAGCTGTGTTTGGAGTTTGTCTTTCACAGAATTAATTACTTTTTGCTCTGATTTCCACATTTATCATTGAATTTATCATGCAATCTCCTTCCTGCGCATACTCCCTCCTCTGTGTGTCGCACCGGAGCAGAGCTGAGAGGAGCGGAGGCTGTATAAATGGGCTTGCAAACGAACAGCTGCGAACTGCGCGCCGCAGCGCAGCGGAGTCACATGTAGTGTAAATYTGAGGTAAGAGAGATGTCAGAGTTCAAACAATTTGTTTTCACTTAACAAAGGTCAATGATCGTCTTTCCTTAAAAAGTTCCCTATTATGTCACTTCCTGTTTCACTTTGGCTGAGCCAAATTCAAAATAAAATATACGCATTATGTGACAAAATGGGTAAAATCATGTATTATGCCAAGGTTCTTAAATATAAAGATGTATTTCTTTGACTTTTTGTAATTGAAGGATTTGCACATCACAGGCCCCCTAAAGCTGTATTAAATGATGGACACAAGAGTAGCAGCATGTTATATTGGACACATGAGTAAAACTGGCACACTGACAGCTTTCCTGTAGTTTAAATCAGCCGAGGAAATTTGTGAGACTGTGGAGCTCATCTGCTCGCTGATTTGAATTTGACTGACATCTGCTAATCAAGTTAGACTGAACTAATCACACGTATTCGGGTTAGACATCAAACCGATTTTCACACACCCTATATATGACTCTAATTCACTGCCCAGATATGTCGTAACTTTGTCAAAAGTCATGCAACAGAGTGTTTAGAGAGAGTTTATTTATTGTATTTCAAACACTATTAATTTAGTTTGTAAAATCCCCCTCGTAATGTGAACTCTTCTTCTAACTTAATATGTCTCCAACTCATCCTCTCACTCCTCTAACACAGTAGATTTTAAAAATGATCTGAGTCCAACAGGATTACATCATCAGCTTTTACACGGTTGCTCTGGCAGCTGAAACAGAAGATGTGGGTCCATGTGAAGCGTGCAGTGKGTGCTGGTGAGCCGTAAACAGGACCTGTCAATTAACTGGAGTCTCTTGGTTGCACAGTGTGAGAAACAAGGAGACACATGATCTACAAACATGATTCTCTGGGGTGATAAACAAGTCTTGACAGAGTTCACCTTCATACAAACATCTCCCATCGCCCAGTGCTCCACTTAGTTGTTTAGTGGGTCAAATGCAGAGCACAGATTTAATTATTGTATGGGAACACACAACAATGAAAAGCACTTTAAGATGACTTAGTGACGTTCATGCTGGGCATCAGAATGAGGAAGAAAGGAAATATGTGTGACTTTGGATGTAGCATGGTTATTGGTGCCAAATGGGCTGGACTGAGATTTTCGAAATCTGCTGATCTGCTAGGATTTCCCAGCAAAGAATTAAGATGCTGATTGTGATTGGCTGATTAGCTATTTGTGTTAAYAGCCAATTGAACAACTGTATCTAATAACATGACTGGTGAGTGTATGTGTTAAATGTCAGCCTGTATTTATGTTGTTTCAGAACACGGAAAGCTTCACAGGAGAATAAACCTCTCTACTGCTTATATCACCTTGCAGAAGCAGTGAAAATCAATTTGCWTCTTTATTACTACTCAAAGAATGTTATGATATACACTCACCAGGCAGCGTGTGTTGATGTGGAGAAACATGCCAATATAGTGCTTTGATTAAAACGTTTGCAAAAATTGCATTTTTGTCAAAATGTAATGAGTAAATGCCTTATCAATGTATCATTTGAATGAACTGTCTGAAATATAACCTTCAAGAATTTTTAAGCACTTTTTTGAT